ATAGGACCAATGCCTTAAATTATTCACATATATGACTAAATATTGATTCTCTACCCTAAATACCCCTAAGGGTATTCATTCACAATGAAATATTTTAATTCATAATAAAATCGTTAAAAATAATAAAAAATCGTAAAAATAATAAAAAATCGTAACAAATAATAAAAGAATAGTAAGTATAGTTACTAGGCCGGCAACATATAGTTTGGAGTTTGGACTTTGGGGTGTATTCCTAATTTTAAGATTTATGAGTATTAATTATACAGGGAGATGTGAAAATAGCTTCTCAAGTTAAAATTAAAAATAAAGAGGGCAAAGCAGTCAACCGAGGGTTACATAAAGCAACATTGGGGGTGCGCAAAGCAACCCCCTTAAATTATCAATTTTGATATTAATATAATACTACGTGGTGTAATGGGATACAGAGCACATTTGTGAACCCACTATTTCATCATCATAAGCTGGACATGTAACGTGTTTGTAGTTTTAAAGACTTATTTGGTGCTTTATTTCTCATTGAAATATCGGTTTTGGGCACTACACAACATTGTTGTTTCTGATTAAGGTTACTACATGAGTACTCAAATGGGTTAGTGAAACCTCATATTTGGTCACATAGTACTGTTTTTTCTGATTTAGGTTACTGATTCATTGGAAAGATTAGTCTTGACTCATGACAACTTATTTCATACTTTATTTCATTAGCCATTGATTATATTTGACTGGATTTCCAAGTGAGTTTATATTCGCTCTCTACTTATTCTTTTTCCACCTTTTTTCTTTCTTTCAGGACTTGAGGAATGATCAACTGACAACCACCAATTCATTGATCATAGGGAATTCAGATTTTGGGCTGCTTTATATATGTTATACGAAGTATATATGAATGAATGTTATGCTTGAACTGTTTTTAAATATGTGTTTGAATGTACTTCTTGTTGGAGTTAATTTGTTTACCATGACGTTTTAACTTTTAAGTATGGTAGACTTGAATTTTTGAAGCGCCGATGAAAACATCTTCGTGATCGATGAACCTAGCGCCGCCAAGCCTGAAGGCCGTCGCCGGTGTGGGTCAAACCAGCGCACAGCCAATCGCAAATCGTTGCTGATTCCCGAAGAATACTAACTGCTCTTTTCGCTCAGTACTCTTTGTATGGGCGTCCCTGCGAGTATGCGACCTGCGTTGGCGCGTTGCTGCCTCCTGGCTGGCACATCGGCACTTTAGTTTTGCCTCCTGCCTCTAGAGCTCTCTCCGATTCCCAATTCAGCAATCTGCTGTCCAGGTTGTTAATTCCCCGTTGTTCGTAAGAATTTTCCCAGGTCTTCTGGGCGCTGTTTTTCCCAGGGTTTCTGGGTGTTGTTATTCCGGCGAAATTGCTCCCTTCAGGGGACGATTTCTGGCTCGGTCGGTCTTTCTAGGGTAATCCCTAGCTGGTTTTTTCCCACGGCTGTTTGTGTGTGCCGGCGGTGTCGAACTTTTTGCTTGCCTTGTTCTCCCTGTCTTGGGTCCGATTAGGACTTTTGCCTGGACGGTTCGAGAGTGCGACGCAGAGCAGTTACAAGGTAATATGAGTACATTGAGTTGGAATTGTAAAGGGCTTGATAATCCGGCCACAAAGCAATGTCTGGCCGACCTTTTGACGGAGCACAAGCCTTCTATTGTCTTCTTAATGGAGACAAAGATTCGCTGTCAGAGGGCGAAAGGAATTATGCGCAATCAGGGTTTTTACGAAGCTTGTGGCTCGGATAGTCTGGGACTAAGTGGAGGTCTGATCTTGGCATGGAAGGATGATGTTGAACTGATAATACATCAAACTGAGGACACCTTTGTTGACTGTAATGTGGTAATCAAGGCGGATGGTTCCTCGTGGAGGTTGACGGGTTTTTACGGCCAACCAGACACTAGGAGGAAGAGAGAGTCTTGGGCTTTAATGGAAGAACTGGCTGAGGCGCGAGGGGGGCCATGGATGATGGTTGGGGATTTCAACGACATCCTTTATGATTCGGAGAAAAAAGGGAGCATCCCTCACCCACTTTGGAGAATCCGGGGATTTAGAGAGGCTGTGCATAGTTGTGGTTTGCGAGACTTTCCTTTCTCTGGATATCAGTGGACGTGGGCAGAGGGAAAAACACACATTACTGGGTGGAAGAAAAGCTTGATCGTTTTCTCGTTAATGATGACTGGTGGGACATGTTTGCGTCAGCCCAAGCAAAGTCGGTGGAGGCTCCTGTGAGTGACCATATGGCTTTATTTATGGAGATGAGACGAGTGACTGAACCGAGAAAGGCAAGGCGGTTTTAATTCGAGAATAGCTGGGTCAAGGAGGAGGATTGTCGTACAATTGTTGCCACAAGTTGAGGGGCGGCAGCCAATAGAAATATTAATGAACACATCTCTTTTTGTGGTTCAGAACTGCTTCGATGGGATAAAGGCAGAAGAAGGGGTTTTCGGCATCAAATTCTGGCCTGTAAAAGGAGGCTCGCGTGGCTTCGAAACCGAGATGATAGAGCCAGTGTCAATGAATTCCTTCGTGTTCGTTCGGTTCTTCAATCACTGCTAGAGAAGGAAAATCTTTTTTGGCAACAGCGTGCTAAGGAGTTCTGGCTAAAAGAAGGAGATATTAATTCCCGGTTTTTTCATAACGCGGTGAAACAAAGAAGACGGAGGAACAAGATGGAGGGTCTACGTAGACAGAATGGAGTGTGGATCTCCGATAGAGGGGATTTGAGTGCGGCGGTTTTGAACTATTTTTCTGATATTTTTCGAAGAGGGGATGTGGCCAGTGGCTATAGTATACGAGGGGATTTTTGCCGAGTCACTGCAGATCAGAACAAGGCTTTGTTAGAGCCTATTCGGCCAGAGGAAGTTAAGCGGGCTATCTTTGACATGCACCCGGACAAAGCGCTAGGGGCTGATGGGATGAACCCGGCTTTCTTTCAAGCATATTGGGATGTGGTAGGGCCTGATATCTCGGCTCTTTGTAGCAGTTGGTTCGAATCAGGTAAATTAGCTGAGCACATAAAGTCTACTAATATTGTTCTTATTCCTAAGAAGGATAAACCTGAATGCATGGGGGACTGGAGGCCCATTGCTTTATGCAATGTGGTCTATAAATTTTCTCTAAGATTCTGGCTAATAGATTGAAAGGTATTCTGCATGGGTTGGTTAGGGAATGTCAGAGTGCTTTTATTCCAGGAAGGTCTATAACAAATAATATCATTGTTGCATTCGAAACTCGGCATTTTCTGAAAAGAAAGACTGATGGTAAGGAGGGGTATGTGGCTTTGAAACTTGATATGAGCAAAGCTTATGATAGGGTGGATTGGAATTATTTAGAGATGGTTCTCCAAAAGATGGGTTTTGCGGAAAGGTGGATTCAGATTATTATGGAATGTGTGAGATCTGTTAACTATTTTATTCAGTTTGACAGTGATTTTTTGGGGCCAATTTACCCAGAGAGGGGGTTACGTCAAGGTGATCCGTTGTCACCATATTTATTTATTCTGGTTGCTGAAGGACTTAGTGCTATGTTAAGGAAGGCGGAACAGGAAGGGTTTATTCATGGGGTGGCGGTGTGTCGGGGAGCACCAAAAGTATCTCATTTGTTTTTTTTGCAGATGATAGTTTCCTATTTTTTAAGGCGACGACAAGTGAATGTAACGCAATACGCGTCACACTAAGAGAGTACGAGGAAGGTTCAGGGCAAGCAATAAACTTCTCCAAATCTTCAATTACTTTCAGTCAGAATGTCCCTGGTCAGTTCAGAACTCAGTGCTGTCGTTTTTTTGGAGTAGCAGAAGGGGTCGGGCCGCAGAACTATTTGGGCTTACCTAGTCTGGTTGGCCTAGGCAAGAAAACCATATTGGGTTTTATTCGGGAAAGGGTCTTTAAACGAATTAAGAGCTGGAACAATAGATTCCTATCCCGGGCTGGGAGAGCGGTGCTGCTTAGAAATTTGGTGCAAGCCATGCCCACTTATGCTATGAACGTTTTCCTGTTACCGGGCGGGCTGTGTGATGAAATAGAGACACTTATGAATGGGTTCTGGTGGAAAGGAACTAAGTTTGAGGATAGGGGAATCCGGTGGAGAAAATGGGAGGCTTTGTGCAAGCCTAAGTGTGACACCGCACCCGAACGTCCTTGAAAATTCAAATTAAAAATTCAAAGTTTATGTATTGAATTTCTGATTCCCAAACAATTGTGAAACGATTGTTGTTTTACGTAATTAATGATTGATTATTATACTGTTCGAACTCGTATATTAGTATCGGGCCTTATTAATAAATAAAAGAGCCTAGCATTTTCTAAATAGTGATACATAACGTTTCAAGACAAGTTGAGGAGGGGCGGGCGGCCCAGATATTATTTTGAGCCCAACCTGCTAAAATAGCAAGTATTCGAGAATGGCGTTCTAGACCCACTCGGGAGTGACCCACACGGCTAGTAGCCCAATGATACGTATGACAAATGTAAAATAAGTGATTGAATGATTAAGGAAGAATACAAATGCCTATAACCCCACCTTTGGCCTTATTGAGCTAAATAATGGGAGTAGGATTTTCCTTCTATAATATCCATCAAGTAAATTATTGGGATGAGCCTACACATATTGGAGATCAATAATGTGATTTAAGAAGTTGACTTGTTCTAAATAAATTAGGATGAGTACAAAAAGACATCTTTGACAAAAGATAAAACAATAGGACCCATTCTTCCATTTTTGGGTGTATTGATAGATATTTTGGATCCCAAATTAATTGGGATCAATGGGGAACCACTCCACATGATATTAGTACCTGAAAGACAAGGAAAATATGTGAGAAGACTCACCTTGGCCGCACCACATGGAGAAGCACTGCCCATGACACAATTGGAATCAAATTTTGGGGCCACCACCACTGTTTTCGCACAAACAGGTGTGCTGTTTTGTCTCCCTTCATTTTGAGAGTTGTACTCGTCCAAATGAGGTGTATAAGGTGTCCTTGGATAGCTTTTGAAGTCTATTTTTATAATTGAGTGGTCTCTGTTCGAGAGGAGAGAGTAATCATCCAAAAATAGATCTGGAACGAGCAGTGGTCTGTGAACTCGAGCTGTGAGAGTGCTGAGACTGTTTGGTTGATATCTCGAGTTTTACTAATCCAATTAAGGCGTGTGAGATACCAAAAGAAAGCTCTCAAGACGAGGAATCCGTGAAGGTCTAGTTTGCATCAATCGGAGTAGAGGAAGGCTTCCAAATCGTCCGAGCAGAACGCGACCTCGCAGGAACGGATTTACTCTTCTAAGTGAGTTGTTAATCCCAAATCCTTTCCATTCATTTTCCAAATGATATGAACGATTGGTGGGACTATTGTACACTAATCCAAGTGTATAATATGCCCTTGAAAAGTTATTTTATTGATGTAAAGGTTAGATACTAACCTAGATGCAAATATTGGAAAACTAGGAATCGAGTTAGCCGGAAAACACCCGTTCTAGGGGCTGTTTTCGTATCAACGATTAGGGGTTGAAATAGCAACTTGAGGAGGCTGTTTAGAACCCATTTTCAAGCAAGGAACTAGTTCCCAATCTTCCTTGGCCGAGGCTTTGGTCATTGGATCGAGAAGGAAGGTTTTAAAGCTCATTTGAGGTGAGGACCGACATCTAGTTGCTTACAACTTATAGGTTATGCATGAGATTACCTAAATGCTTAAATCATGTTTTTGTGAATAAATATGCTTGAACATGATATGAATGATAAGTAATGGACTTGATCATAAATTGAAACCATATTGATGAATATGGAGTCATGTGAGATAAAAGTATGCTAAAATGGTAAATTGACCTTCCAACTCATGTATGAATGTTATGTGTATGTAAATGTATGATTGCATGATGATGCTTAGCACATGGGAGGCTGCCACATATCTATTGATATGGAGGGGCTACCATTAATGATAAATGAGTTGTAGGAATAATCTTAATAGTATTGTGATGCTAGTTAAGGATTGTTCTAAATGTTGATAGAACCAAACTTAAAGGTTGAGTTTGTTTGTGATGAACTTGAATGAGATTCAAGTGTCGATTGGGAAATCATGGAGTAGGAGATCTATGGTGTGGTTTTATGAAGTAGGAGATCTATGGTGTGGTTTTATGAAGTAGGAGATCTATGGTGTGGTTTTATGAAGTAGGAGATCTATGGTGTGGTTTTATGAAGTAGGAGATCTATGGTGTGGTTTTATGAAGTAGGAGATCTATGGTGTGATTATATGAAGTAGGAGATCTATGATATGATTATATGAAGTAGGAGATCTATGATGCGAGTGCATGATGATGTACTCGAGCCGAACTCTAGAAATGAGAAGTTGTATTAGGGTTGGACCCTACGTATGTCGTGACCATTAGTCACGGGGTTTTGGAAAATGTTTTATAACAAACATGGGCCTTTGAGCCGACTACTTGACTTTATATAAAGTAAGTATATATTTTGAAAGGGGTAATTTGAGATTACGGCCTATACTATATTATCACCCTATTTGAGGGTCTTGTGTGTGAAATACTTGTTGTACATCTATTAGATGCCTGCCACACCAGCACTTTATAGCCCTATAGAGTGCTGACCCCTTCGGGGGCGTCCCACCACCATTTTTCAGGTTGAGGCTAGAGCTTGCTTCCTGTGCTCGTTGCTCGAGAGATCATCTAGGAGGGAAGACTTGGTTCGTGCTTCCTCCATTCGTTTTTTAAACATTAATAAACATGCTCATGGATATTTTACTTTAGAGCCTGCGTGCTCATGAATAGCCCTGTGTGGCCCTTTGTTTTAAACAATGTTTTCCGCTGCGTTATGAATTACTTATTATGTTTGTTTATGGATGTTACGTGTGTGAATGATATTCAAGACGCCTTGTATAATATGAATGTGTTGGACTGCGGTTGACTATTTGTATTGTACGGCGGGTTGTTGACGTGTCCGGGGAGGTCCGGGGCGTGACAATTAAGTTGGTATCAGAGCCTTAGTCCATAAACTTCATAATGAAGTCTCAAAATTCTCTTTTCAAAATGATTTTTGAAAACCATGAGCAAAAACGTTTTGTACTTAAGAACTTTTGGTGTTTGAGTTGCAAGGTCTCTAATTGTTAAGATGGCGCCCTTAACGATTGGTATGGCGGTGACTTGGCCCAAGAGATGTCTTAAGTGCCTATCTGTCAGTTGACATTTGAAACGAGTCTAATGACTCATTCTAATTATTTCTTTCAGCGATGGAGGGTGATGGTGGTATTATGAATAGGGAGAACTCGGAAGGGTTTGCACCGGGTGGAACCGGGCATGCCAACCGAGAAAAGCCCTTAGGACCAAAGGTGCACGAAACTCTTGAAGCTCAAATCGTGAGTGGTGGTCATGTTAAGACCAAGGAAGAATCACCTTGTTATGGCAAAACTGAACCACTCAAGGCTTCGGGTGACGAAGGAGATGATTTGAGTGATGAGGACCTTGATGGTGCACCCATTGAACAAATGGGCATGGTCATAGATTGGCTTCAACGTGAACGTGTGAGGCTTATACAAAAACGCCAAGCTAGGCAAGCTGAGGGCATACCATTAGTAAGGAAAAGGAAGCGGGGAGACAACGATTCCCAAAGACATTCAAGGAGGACAAACGTTGAGGGTGACAAAACCTTCAGGGCGCAGACACTATCACTTGAGTGGAGTCGAGGCTTGGGTGGCCCGAACTCGAGGTCAAAAGGTCCGAGGGTACCTAAGTGCAACAATTGCAAGAAACACCACTCGGGTAAGTGTCAGGACCCTCCCAGGTGCTATCAATGCACAGAGGTCGGGCACACGAGAGTGAGTTGCCCACAAATTGTGCAAAACCAAACTTCGGGGTCAAGTGGTGAAACTACAAGAAATGAAAACCAAACCGAGGTTTCTCAAGGGAGCAGGGGACATGGGGGAGCAAGCACGAGCAACGCGCCATCCGTGAACCAAGGAAGGACCCAAGCTAGGGTCTATGCGATGACGGAGGCGGATGCTCAAGCTAACCTGGATTCCGTTGAAGGTAGTACCTCTTGTATACTTGTTTTTTATCCTTAATTAGTCCATAAATTGAGGTTGCTAGTCGTTGGGATCATTGTACGAAGCTTTGGGGTCAAACGGAGCGAAATCGGGCGAAAGACGGCTGATTTCCGCCAACGCACCCCAGGCTGGACCATACGCACGGTCGTGCGTTGTCCGTGCGTTGGTCCGTGTGTTGGTGGCAGTAGCAACCGGGAAGAAATTGCTATACGCACGGCCGTGCGTTGTCCGTGCGTTGGTCCGTGCGTTGGTGGCAGTAGCAACCGGGAAGAAATTGCTATACGCACGGACGTGCGTTGTCCGTGCGTTGGTCCGTGCGTTGGTGGCAGTAGCTCCGTTTTGAGGTTATAAGACACGCACGCCGTGCGTACCTCCTAGGCACGCCGTGCGTACCTCCTGGGCAGCCCAAAGTCGACTTTTTCGCGCCGTATTGCAACGTTAAGACCCGTTCTTGATCCCAAACATGTGTGTGAACACAATAAACCTCTCTAAATGTATAAGAATGGTAGGAAAGGTATCTCACATGACTTATAAATGTAGGAACACTAAAGATTAATGGGAAGGATGCGCGAATCCTTATCGATACCGGGGCGCAACGTTCATTTGTGAATGAAGCGTTCGCCAAGAGGTTGGGAGTGCAATCCGCACCATTGATGCAAACCTTAGTGGTATCAACACCACTAGGGGATGACGTGGAAAGAACTTGTTACTATCCATCTTGTGGGGTGGAGGTTAATGGTCAAACCTTGACGTGTGACTTCGTACCGCTGAGCATGGTTGAATTCGATGCAATCCTAGGGATGGATTGGCTAGAAAGGAACCATGCTAGGGTAGATTGCTACACGAAGGTTCTTGAACTCGAAGGCAATGATGGGGAGACCCTACGCTTCGAGGGCGATCGAGGGAGATCAAATAGCTGTATCATATCCGCCGTGAGAGCGAAAAGTATGATGAGAAAGGGATGCCACGCATATCTAGCATACGTGGTTGACAAAACCAAAGAAGAAATGAACATCGATGATGTGAGGGTGGTTTGTAAGTATCCGGATGTCTTCCCTAAAGACCTGCCGGGGCTTCCACCTGATAGGGAGATTGAATTTGTGATCGAGGTCGAGCCCGGCACCAAACCAATCTCCATACCGCCATACCGTATGGCACCCGCTGAACTTAACGAGTTGAAAACCCAATTGCAAGAGCTTTTGGGTAATGGTTTCATTAGACCAAGCCACTCCCCGTGGGGAGCACCAGTTCTTTTTGTGAAAAAGAAGGATGGGACACTTCGAATGTGTATTGACTATCGTCAACCGAACAAGGTCACAATCAAGAATAGGTATCCTTTGCCTAGAATTGATGACTTGTTTGATCAACTACGAGGAGCAACCGTGTTTTCGAAGATTGACTTGAGGTCGGGGTACCATCAATTGAAGATTAAGGGAGACGACATACCAAAGAGTGCTTTCCGCACAAGGTATGGGCATTTTGAGTTCCTTGTTATGTCGTTTGGGTTAACAAACGCCCCAACGGCATTCATGGACTTGATGAACCGAGTATTCCATAAATACTTGGATCGATTCGTGATTGTGTTCATAGACGACATTTTGATTTACTCAAAGAGTGAGGAAGGGCATGAAGAGCACTTGATACTCGTTCTTGAGACACTACGGGAGAAGCAACTTTATGCCAAATTTTCCAAATGTGAATTTTGGCTAAAGGAAATTGGCTTTCTCGGGCATGTGGTTTCGGGATCGGGAATTGCCGTTGATAATAAGAAGATAGAGGCCATTACCGAATGGGAGAGACCAAAGAATGTCAAAGAAATTTGTAGTTTCCTTGGATTGGCAGGCTACTACAGAAAGTTCGTGGAGAAGTTCTCTGTTTTGGCATCACCATTGACGAAGCTCACTCGTAAAGGAGCTAAGTTTGTATGGGATGATAAATGTGAGAAAGGGTTCATGGAACTAAAGAAGAGATTGACCGAGGCACCGGTACTTGCATTACCCAAACAGGGTGTGGGGTACGATGTCTATAGCGATGCGAGCATCCAAGGGTTTGGGTGTGTGTTGATGCAGGAGGGGAGAGTAATTGCCTATGCTTCACGACAGTGGAAGAAGCATGAGGTAAATTACCCTACCCATGATCTGGAGCTGGGAGCAGTAGTGTTTGCACTAAAGATGTGGAGATATTATCTCTACGGAGAGACATGTCACATATATACTGATCATAAGAGCTTGAAGTACGTATTTACTCAGAAAGAGTTAAACATGAGACAGAGACGGTGGATGGAGTTAATAAAGGACTACCATCTAGTTATTGAGTACCATCCAGGTAAGGCAAACGTTGTAGCAGATGCCCTTAGTCGGAAGAGTTCGTCTGAGGCATTGTTGGCTAGTTTGAGGGCACTGAGGGCCCAACTGGATGTATCTAGCGACGGTGCCTTATTGGCACGATGCGAAGTGAGACCGACCTTACTTGAGGAGATCAAGAAGGGTCAAGGGACGGACACAGAACTTATGAAGGTCCAGGAACGCATGCAAGCGGTACCGGTGGAGGATTTCAGGGAAAGAGATGATGGTCTCTTGTTATTTCGTGACCGAGTGTGTGTACCGTCAGATGATGAGCTCTGAAAGTCCATCTTAGAGGAGGCTCATTCATCGGCTTATGCCATGCACCCGGGGGGCACGAAAATGTACCGTGATTTGAAAGAAAGTTACTGGTGGTCTGGAATGAAGAGGGAAATAACCGAGTACATCAGCCGATGCCTTACTTGTCAACAAGTTAAGGCAGAACATCAGCATCCAGCAGGCTTATTGCAACCACTTTCCATTTCCGAATGGAAGTGGGAAAACGTGACTATGGATTTCGTGGTAGGTTTACCACGGACAATCAGGAACTATGATGCAGTTTGGGTTGTTGTAGATAGGCTCACGAAGAGTGCACACTTCTTACTATCAACATTACTTACCCACTTGAGAGGTTAGCCAAATTGTATACGGATGAGATCGTGAGGCTACATGGGATTCCTATGACCATTGTATCCGATAGAGACCCACGATTCCTATCACGTTTTGGCCAAAATTCAGGGGTCTATGAGAATGAGGTTGAAGTTCAGTACTGCTTTCCATCCACAGACGGATGGGCAGTCAGAAAGGGTTATACAGATCATAGAGGATATGTTGAGGGCTTGTGCATTGATTGGAGTTCCAAGGGAGTTGGGACAACCACTTAGCACTTGTGGAGTTCGCCCATAACAACAGTTATCAGGCAAGCATCGGCATGCCTCCATACGAGGCATTGTATGGGAGGAGGTGCCGTACACCGTTATGCTGGGACGAGGTTGGCATGGCCAAACTCGAGGGTACTGAGTTGGTCGAGATCACCAAGTCAAAGGTGAAGTTGATTCGAGAGGGACTCAAAGCGGCTCAGGATAGACAAAGAGTTATGCAGATAAGCGCCGAAGAACCTTAGAGTTTAAGGTTGATGACGAGGTATTCTTGAAAGTTTCTCCTTGGAAAGGAATCATTCGATTCCAAACCAGAGGGAAGCTTAACCCACGATACATAGGTCCATTCAGAATTATAGAAAGGATTGGGGCCGTTGCATATCGTCTACAGTTGACTCCTGAATTAGAGAAGATACATAATGTGTTTCATGTATCAATGGTCGAAGTACTTTGGAAGGGCGATCGGGTCGAAGAAGAGACATGGGAAACAGAGGCTTTGATGAGGAAGCAGTATGCTATCCTATTCGGTTAGAGCTGTGAATTTCGGGGATGAAATTCCTGTTAAGGGGGGGTGAACTTGTGACACCGCACCCGAACGTCCTTGAAAATTCAAATTAAAAATTCAAAGTTTATGTATTGAATTTCTGATTCCCAAACAATTGTGAAACGATTGTTGTTTTACGTAATTAATGATTGATTATTATACTGTTCGAACTCGTATATTAGTATCGGGCCTTATTAATAAATAAAAGAGCCTAGCATTTTCTAAATAGTGATACATAACGTTTCAAGACAAGTTGAGGAGGGGCGGGCGGCCCAGATATTATTTTGAGCCCAACCTGCTAAAATAGCAAGTATTCGAGAATGGCGTTCTAGACCCACTCGGGAGTGACCCACACGGCTAGTAGCCCAATGATACGTATGACAAATGTAAAATAAGTGATTGAATGATTAAGGAAGAATACAAATGCCTATAACCCCACCTTTGGCCTTATTGAGCTAAATAATGGGAGTAGGATTTTCCTTCTATAATATCCATCAAGTAAATTATTGGGATGAGCCTACACATATTGGAGATCAATAATGTGATTTAAGAAGTTGACTTGTTCTAAATAAATTAGGATGAGTACAAAAAGACATCTTTGACAAAAGATAAAACAATAGGACCCATTCTTCCATTTTTGGGTGTATTGATAGATATTTTGGATCCCAAATTAATTGGGATCAATGGGGAACCACTCCACATGATATTAGTACCTGAAAGACAAGGAAAATATGTGAGAAGACTCACCTTGGCCGCACCACATGGAGAAGCACTGCCCATGACACAATTGGAATCAAATTTTGGGGCCACCACCACTGTTTTCGCACAAACAGGTGTGCTGTTTTGTCTCCCTTCATTTTGAGAGTTGTACTCGTCCAAATGAGGTGTATAAGGTGTCCTTGGATAGCTTTTGAAGTCTATTTTTATAATTGAGTGGTCTCTGTTCGAGAGGAGCGAGTAATCATCCAAACATCGATCTGGAACGAGCAGTGGTCTGTGAACTCGAGCTGTGAGAGTGCTGAGACTGTTTGGTTGATATCTCGAGTTTTACTAATCCAATTAAGGCGTGTGAGATACCAAAAGAAAGCTCTCAAGACGAGGAATCCGTGAAGGTCTAGTTTGCATCAATCGGAGTAGAGGAAGGCTTCCAAATCGTCCGAGCAGAACGCGACCTCGCAGGAACGGATTTACTCTTCTAAGTGAGTTGTTAATCCCAAATCCTTTCCATTCATTTTCCAAATGATATGAACGATTGGTGGGACTATTGTACACTAATCCAAGTGTATAATATGCCCTTGAAAAGTTATTTTATTGATGTAAAGGTTAGATACTAACCTAGATGCAAATATTGGAAAACTAGGAATCGAGTTAGCCGGAAAACACCCGTTCTAGGGGCTGTTTTCGTATCAACGATTAGGGGTTGAAATAGCAACTTGAGGAGGCTGTTTAGAACCCATTTTCAAGCAAGGAACTAGTTCCCAATCTTCCTTGGCCGAGGCTTTGGTCATTGGATCGAGAAGGAAGGTTTTAAAGCTCATTTGAGGTGAGGACCGACATCTAGTTGCTTACAACTTGTAGGTTATGCATGAGATTACCTAAATGCTTAAATCATGTTTTTGTGAATAAATATGCTTGAACATGATATGAATGATAAGTAATGGACTTGATCATAAATTGAAACCATATTGATGAATATGGAGTCATGTGAGATAAAAGTATGCTAAAATGGTAAATTGACCTTCCAACTCATGTATGAATGTTATGTGTATGTAAATGTATGATTGCATGATGATGCTTAGCACATGGGAGGCTGCCACATATCTATTGATATGGAGGGGCTACCATTAATGATAAATGAGTTGTAGGAATAATCTTAATAGTATTGTGATGCTAGTTAAGGATTGTTCTAAATGTTGATAGAACCAAACTTAAAGGTTGAGTTTGTTTGTGATGAACTTGAATGAGATTCAAGTGTCAATTGGGAAATCATGGAGTAGGAGATCTATGGTGTGGTTTTATGAAGTAGGAGATCTATGGTGTGGTTTTATGAAGTAGGAGATCTATGGTGTGGTTTTATGAAGTAGGAGATCTATGGTGTGGTTTTATGAAGTAGGAGATCTATGGTGTGGTTTTATGAAGTAGGAGATCTATGGTGTGATTATATGAAGTAGGAGATCTATGATATGATTATATGAAGTAGGAGATCTATGATGCGAGTGCATGATGATGTACTCGAGCCGAACTCTAGAAATGAGAAGTTGTATTAGGGTTGGACCCTACGTATGTCGTGACCATTAGTCACGGGGTTTTGGAAAATGTTTTATAACAAACATGGGCCTTTGAGCCGACTACTTGACTTTATATAAAGTAAGTATATATTTTGAAAGGGGTAATTTGAGATTACGGCCTATACTATATTATCACCCTATTTGAGGGTCTTGTGTGTGAAATACTTGTTGTACATCTATTAGATGCCTGCCACACCAGCACTTTATAGCCCTATAGAGTGCTGACCCCTTCGGGGGCGTCCCACCACCATTTTTCAGGTTGAGGCTAGAGCTTGCTTCCTGTGCTCGTTGCTCGAGAGATCATCTAGGAGGGAAGACTTGGTTCGTGCTTCCTCCATTCGTTTTTTAAACATTAATAAACATGCTCATGGATATTTTACTTTAGAGCCTGCGTGCTCATGAATAGCCCTGTGTGGCCCTTTGTTTTAAACAATGTTTTCCGCTGCGTTATGAATTACTTATTATGTTTGTTTATGGATGTTACGTGTGTGAATGATATTCAAGACGCCTTGTATAATATGAATGTGTTGGACTGCGGTTGACTATTTGTATTGTACGGCGGGTTGTTGACGTGTCCAGGGAGGTCCGGGGCGTGACACTAAGAGCCGAGGGGGGCTGGGTTTCCGAAAGCTTCATGAATTCAATATCTCTATGCTAGCCAAACAGGGCTGGAGACTTTTGAGGAACCCGAATAACTTGATGGGCAGAGTGCTCAAGGCCAAGTATTTTCCTAATTCTGATTTTTTGAAATCGAAACTTGGGAACAACCCATCCTATATTTGGCGGAGTATTTATGAGACACGAGAGGTGTTAAAGAAGAATGTTAGGCGTCGGGTGGGCCATGGGCGGGATGTTCAAGTGTGGGCTGACGCGTGACTACCTGGGCCGAGGGATGGAAAGATTCATTCTGGTAAACCGCCTTTTGTTGTTGATATGGAAGTTGCAGCTTTGAGGGATCCTACTGGCAAAAAATGGAACAAAGATCGTATTAACACCATTTTTAATTCGGAGGAAAGCATGCAGATTTGCAGTCTCCCGATAAGTTTGCAGGAGAAGGAGGATGGGTATTGGTGGTCGAAAGAGAAGGATGGGAATTTTTCTGTTCGTAGTTGCTATAGGGATCTTATGTATGAGAATGTTGCGGGAAATTGGGATGGCTGGAAAGATTTTTGGAATTTAAAAATTCCCCCAAAAATCAAATATTTTATCTGGCAGGTCTTGGATGGATCTATTCCTTCTTTTACTAATTTAGCTAAACGGGGTGTTCCGCTACAAGTTGTTTGTAAAGCTTGTTTACAGGAGGATGAGTCAAGTGACCATGCTCTGCGGAGGTGCTCTAAAGCCGCTGAAGTTTGGGCCGCAACAGGAATTGATACGGGGATGGATATATTTGGGGTGGAGGATTGGCTGAAGCATTTGCTGTCAGGGACGGACGCGGAGAGGAAATGCAGGGTTTGGAAGAGGTGTAACTCGCTGGTTTGGGAAGGGGATTGGCAGCAATCAGCCGGGCTTCTCAACTGTTGTGCGAGCATCCTTAATGCTTGGAGGGATGCGCAGCAAATGGGACGAGGAAGGAGTTGCAGCAGACAAGAGTCGGGGCCTGGTGGCTGGGTATGACTGCAGGCGGGGAAGAGTAAAATAAATAGTGACGCAGCAGTGGATTCGACTCAAGGCATTCATGCATGGGGTTGGGTGGCAAGGAATGATCGGGGCGAGTTTATTAAGGCAGGGGGAGGTTCGTGCAAGGCCGAATGGTCACCGGAGGAAACCGAAGCCTTTGGGGTGAGAGAGGCACTTAAAGGGGCAATTGAGGAGGGTTGGGAAGCTGTGGATGTTGAAACAGATGCTCAAACGGTGGTTCGGGGAGTCAGGCAAGAGGGAGGTTTGGCATATATGGATTTACTCCTTGATGATATACAGTTTTTAATTAATAGTCAGAGATGTTTTAATATCTCTTTTTGTAGACGATCTGCGAATCGTGCGGCTCACGCTTTGGCGAGAACACATGTCTCTATCTCAGATCATAGTATTAGTTACGATATTGTTCCAGACTGTATTGTAAGCCCTTTGGCTAATGATTTATTAATAATATAGTCGCTTTTTCTGGTAAAAAAAAGTATGGTAGACTTGAACAGTCTGAACATGATTATAAATTGATTGTATTTATTTTTTAAGAATTTAGTATTCAACTAAACAGTTATACATGAATTATTATTACTATGTAGTACTATCCTCCGTTCTTTAATTCTTGCAACAATTTGACTTTCACGTTTGTCAACGCACAACTTTGACTGTAATTATATTTAATTATGTATTAGTAAACATTATAAAGAGTTGATATTTTGGAAGTTCACATTGATAGGAATTCAATAACATTTTATACATAATAATTTGATTATGTATATTAGTAGAAAATCATGGTCAAAGTAAGGTCCGTGAATAGTGCAAAAATCACAATGTTGCAAGAATTAAAGAACGAAGGAAGTATCTATTATAAATTTTTATTAATAATTTTATGAGTTTTAGGTGTGATATATATTTATATTTTCGGTATACCGACACCGTGGTTGAGTTTTGGTATACCGAATATTCGGTACGACATCGGTATGAAGATGTGTGATACCGAAAGTTCGGTATACCGAAATTTCGATATACCAAACTTTCGGTACAGTAACGGTATGAAATTCTCATATACCGGTATTTCGGTACGGTATACGGTATGGCATGATTTTTTCGGTATGCCATACCGAACCACCCCTAATTGGAAGGGTGTGTGAAATGTGAGGTAGAAAATGAGATAATATATGCTTGTATAGTTGTATATATGATCAGCTCAGCTGATCATGAAAGTAAAATTTTGATACCAGTAAATGATTAAGAATATTTTTTATAAAAATGAAAATAGCCGTTTTCACCAAGATCACATAATTCAGCAAGAAAAGTAAATGTTTGAATGGACCGATTGAATGAGATAATATTCAGTCATAAGAGTAATATAAATGGTAATATACAGGGGCGTATCCAGGGTGGGGGTAGGGGGGGCAGCTGCCCCCACTCAACCCCCACCCAACCCTATTATATATATATCCAATTTAAATTTATACATATATTTTTTGTTCTACATAAGGGTTTTATACAATTAGTACAAATGTTTTGATAAAACCTGCTAGTGGTTGAGCGGAAATAGTAGGAGTCTTAAGATGTTGAATTTGGTAGGGGTACACAATTTGTGTACACCCTTGGCACCTCATTTAAATACTCCCCTATTTTTTTTTACCTCACTTCTTTCCTTCCCAATTCAAAATTTGTGTACACCACCCTTGGCACCCTTCACTAAAATTTTTTCCCATAACATTCTTGTGTACATTCACAAATACAACCATATGTCCAAAACTTATACACACTTTCACATAACAACTACATTATCTATCAAAACATACTACAAAAAACTCTTGTAACAATACTTGCATGTCCATACAGACGTTATTTCTACATAGACAAACAAATTACATTGTCTGTCAGGCAGACATTTTACATATGGGTCAAACAACAAACGTACTATGTTTCAGTAGAGAGACACTGCACTTATAACTACTCTGATAGACAGACAACCCTTTTCATATCCCAAATACACCAAAAAATCAACAAAACAAAATCTAGAAAATCAAGAAAACAAAACCAAGACAACAACACATACTCAAGCCTTCCACCTTTGGACCTTGTTCATCTTCGTCCCTCGACCTCGCATCCAGTTCGCCGGAAACCGGCGTACGACCATCATCTTCACCTTGATCACCTAGCTCTCCAAAAATCATGTTATCCAAGAGTAACCCATCAACCCACTCGGATGTATCATTCCCAGTTAGCTCCATTGAAGAAGAGTTCCAACAGAGAAGATGAAGGATGTCTCACTCTTCTCTTCGGTCGTTTGCTTGAATCGCTGCTTCCGATTTTTTTGGCTTCCGATTTTTTTGGCGGCGTGACTTCTACGCAGGGGAGGGAGGGAGGGTTGTGAGAGGCAGAATTATTTGGGGGGTAAATGATGGTAAAAATAGGGAGTATTTAAATGGGGTGCCAAGGGTGTACACAAATTGTGTACCCCTAGCAAAATTCATTAAAGGTTTATTTGCTGTGGTTTCACCTCTGACCGCAGCAGACAAGAGAGAAATTTATAGTATGTGATGCGGTTCACCCTTACTCGTAGAAAATAAGTAAAATAAAAATAAAATTCAAAATAATATAAGTATTTGCTGCGGTTTTCATATGATCGCAGCAAAAGTATCAAATTTTCCAACTATTTGTTGTGGTCGTAGTAAAATCGCAGCAAATACTTATTAATTTTGCATATTTGCTGCGTTTTAACTAACAATCACAAGAAATGGGTAGCAGCAAATAACGAAAATTCTAGTAGTGAAAGGTGACGGTCTCCATTCGGGAAGGGAATGTCGAGGCCGGTCTCAAGATCAAGACATTCAACATTGGAGGCCGGTCTTGAGATAGGCATGATCGACATCGTTGAGGAGGCCATTAATGATATGATGCCCAGACAATAATGAGCCGATCATCATATAAAGCAAGCAATCGCCATCCAGGAAGGGAATGGCGAGCCCAATCACAATATCAAGACATTCCGTTGTGAGCCATTCTTGAGATAAGTGTGACGGCTTGATGAGTCTTATCCAAAATATGATGACAAGGTGATGATGAGTCAGTCGCCATATGAAGACGATGGTCACCATCCGAGAAGCCATATGAAGACGATGGTCACCGTCCGGGAAGGGAGTAGTGGTTAGCCCAACATTGGGAGTCGGTCTTGAGATATGTAATCACGTCGTAGCCGAGGGTCCAATCATGATGTGAAGATGACAACAATGAGAAGTCGATCCAACATATGATGACAAGGCGATGATGAGTCGGTCTTCATATGAAATTGAAGGTCACAATCCGGGAAGGAAGTGGCGAGCTCAATCAAAAGATCATCTGAGGGAACTAGGTGCCGAAGATCGGTCCTTGGCCAAGGGATCCCATTGGAGAGCTCTGGGCAAGGTCCTGATGGGGACAATAGACTTTATCATCCATCTCAAGTCAGGGATCGTCGAGCGCTACTCGACCGATCTTCTGGATGATTTTTCGATCAGTGAGTAGGTTGAGGTAGCCCTCCAAGATATATTAAGATAAGCTTCCGAGTTCTCTTTTTCTAGTATGCCCTTTTCGTTGTTCGTCGGTATTTTTTTGTAATGAAAATAAGAGTTGATCTGGATTTCCTTGACCTCTGAGGTGGGTTTAATGTGGAGCTGACCCTCCTCATACTTCATCGCTTTGATTTTTATTGTATGAACCCACACATCCCTTTGACTAAGCTGCTGGCAAGATTTCAAATAACACCTCCTCGCCATGCGCTGATCTCCTTGAGCCACTCTGACATCGTTCGGAGTAAAGAACTTCATGCAAATGTGCTACTCGATATGACACACCTTAGGTCCTTCAGGGATGGTCGACAAATGATGATCTTATGCATACAAATTAGGCACACAATGGCGAAATCTACGTCTAACTTTAATATGCAGCGATATGAGTCCGTCACATGGGATGGCTATTTGATAAGTCTGTATTACAATACACATTTGATGTGTGTTGGGATCGACTTTTGATGTTTTTCCTGGCTTTAAGGTGTTGCAAGTCTTTAGCTCAAGTTGTGTTTACCAGACGTTGGTTCGAGTTTTGTGTTGTTTGGAGTCAAAATCGGGAATTTAGAGTCCGACACCGGCCCTCCACCTTGATACGTTGGTTTGGTTATATTTGTTTAGAAGGAGGGTAGCGTCATACGTTTATTTGAAAACTTGTACTTCCTCCGTCCCAAAATGATGGTCCTGTATTCCCTTTTTGGGATGTTCCAAAATAATGGTCTTGTTTCCTTTTTGGGTAAAAAACTAAAAGTAAATTACCATTTATTATTCATACTCCTCCTTGTTAATGAACAATAAAAGTAAAAGAATTAACTATACAATAAAGTAAGATTTTTTAGTTTTTCTAATAAGTTTTGTTAATTCTTGTGACCAAAAGAAACAAGAATGTAAAGCTGGTGTAATTAGTGATGAAATAATGATAAAGTGGCCGCCAAATGAGCAATTCACTAACATCGCTCTTATTTCTCCTCGCTGCCGTTTGCTTGTTTCTTTGCCAAACCGAAACGCACCCCATCACTGCATGCTCCGAAAAGAAACCCACAAAGAAGAAAAAGAGAGAAACAATTTTGCCCCTTCCACCATAAATCCCATCGCCATTCCCCGCCCCACACCTCTCTTCCTTTCAACTTTAACGGCTTGGTTCCTTGTAAAGTTCGGATCTTTATAAACCTCTGAATCTACTGGGTCGGCGGGACAGCTTTCCGGAGCCGGAGCTTCAATGGGACCCATCAGGGATTTGAAGAGGAAGAAGAAGCCGGAAAAAGATCTTGACCTTAATGCCCCTACCATTTTCCGACAGCCCATGACTTTGGACTCTTCTGACTGGTGGGACGACTTCTCCCACAGGCTCCCTGGTATGTATGTATATATATCTACTCTGTATGTGTATATACCGTACGGCGGTAGGGGCCGTAGGGCCCCACTCCCCCACATCCCTTCCCTCAGAGCCCAACCCCGCCGCCACCGCCGCCGTGCTTGTGGTCTTATCGATGTGACCATGTTTATGCTCTTCTTTCTTGTTTTGCCGTTTTCTTGATTTTCTGTCCACGTCCGTACGGGCGGTACGGCATTGTCGCTATTGTTGTTCTTCAGCTTTTTTCTTGATGATTTCTTGCTGGAAGTGTGGGTTTAAGGAATTTTATCCCGACGATTTTTGGGTTTCTGGTCTTCAACGTCGATTTTGAAGTTGTGCGAGAGGGAACATAGAAGAAGTAGAAGAAAAAAACTCTGTCTTTGAAGAAGTTTGGATCAAGAAGTTGGGGACTTCTCGTAAGACCCCCCCCAATATGCGTAGCTAGGAGAATTTTTGACATGATATTTTACACAAAAGACTTTACTCATAAAAAACTTTTTACCAAATTTTGAATGGGTCGGACTCGGCATGGCCTCCACGCCCATGCCCCCACCCCCTCCCACACTTAAGTGTATAACTTTTTGGTAATGGTTATTGGTTTAGATCAACTTTGTTTGTCGGTTTAACTTAATTTATGGTATTCAACTTGTGGAAGACTTTCTTTTATTGAAAATTGCGTGAAATATTAGCTTTATTTGACCAAATATATGAGTTTTTTTAAGAACTAAAGAAGGTTCTGAAACATGTTACTCCGTATTTGGGAGTGGGCTAGTTGAGTACTAATATGGAATATGGATTCTTGATGTGGAGCATGGCTTGTATAGCCTCACCTGGAATATAGATTGGAGTTTGTTGTTTCTTGCACTAGGCATAGAAACCAAGGCATGATATGTCTTGTAAGAGATGCCATTTTGATTTTACTTTACTTTCATAGAATTGCATATAGTTTTATTGCAGAAATTGAAGTCAAATCCTGTCTGCTCCTGGTACATTTCTGTTTTGAATGGTTGCAACCCAAAAATATGAAAGTTTAGTACTTGGGAACTGTAGAAACTAGACCTGACATATTCTGTTTTGTCAAATGGTACTGTTAAATGGGATGAATTGGAGCTGCACATTTTAGTTTAAGAACTGTTAAATGTTTTGTGTTAGTTAATGATCAACTGCTTGGAACTGTTAAATGTTTCAATAGCAATAAGGAAAAAATTAAGGTGTACTTTTAGTCATTGCTCTTTAGGTGTTTGAATGCTATAAACCAAGTAGTTCTGCATAAGTAATTACAGTATGTATTAACCGCATATGCTTGACGGACTTCAAGTATTAACCGCTTTATGATTTACATTCCCTTTATGAATAAAGGTGAATTGTTTTAGGAAGACAATGAACAGATTGGTCCCAACTCTCAAAGTTCAAACAGTTTGAGTGATCTTCGAACTGTTTTAGTTTACTTTGAAGATCTCTATCCAATTGCTAATTTGTCTGGAAGTATACTCTAAAAATGTTTAAAGTAAATGGAAGTTTATATACACTGGTTTGCCTAGAACTACTGAACTAAATGAAATCTATAAAGTTCACCGAGGACCTAATTCTTTAGTTTCGCAGCAGATTTGCAGAACGCTAATATGTCAATTTTCATTTACACCGCAGTATTTGTCATGTGTTCGTTTCACTTTCACACAGCTTCTTTGTTAAATATTCTGAGGGAATTGCTGTTACTAAATTCCTGAAATGAAACATGTCGGATGTGTTCTTCATCTTTTTTCTTTATAATTTTAAAAACTTAAAAATCTTACTCGTATTATACTTTTTTTAGAGAAATCTTATTATACTTGAAAACAATATGAGGCCCATACTTAAAATATGAAAACTTTATAATCTTATCACATACTCCCTCCGTCCCGCTATTAATTTCCTGCTTTCCTTTTTGGGCCGTCCCAAAATCATCTTCTCATTTCTCTAAATATAAAGTTATCCTACATCAAAGCAGTACAAAACAGTGTCAAACAGTGTTTAAACAGTGCAAAACAGTGTCTAAACAGTGTCTAACAGTTTCTAAACAGTAAAATCAAATTTATTTCTTTCTAAAAAGAGAATTGTGGCACTTATCACTTATTTTGAGACAACTATATAGAAAAGTAAGACATGTAAATGAGATGGAGGTAGTAATAAACTATTAGTTCTGTTCCATTGAACTTTGTTAAATTTGAATTAAGTGAGATACAAGAAAAATAAAAATTATGTAATTGAGTTTTGTGGAAAAGATATAAATGAACAAAACCACAAATTAATCACTTTGGTGGAAATTTGGCTAATTTTTTGGCATAATTATATGAAATACGTAGTACGGAGTGTATTTTAAGTATTTCTGGGTATAACTTTTTCATAATTAATCACTTTAACACTTCAATCAAAGTCAATTCGATCAATTAGAACCATAATTTTAATTAGGAGTTTCATGAAAATGATGTTTATTTTGGACGTTTGTTTCATCCGGCTCACACATTTATTGTGTTGATAAACATTTTTACAGTTTACAGTGTGAGGTTCCTTTATCACTTCAGAGGCTCAGAAAAATGCACTTTTTGCAGGCTCTTCAAAAGACAGAGTTTCCTCCTTTGAATCAGTTTTCAAATTCTCCAGAAGGACGTTTAATTACATCTGCTCACTCGTTAAAGACGAGATGATGTCCAAGCACGTCAACCTCACAGATCTCTCCGGCCACCGTCTCTCCCTCAACGATCGAGTGGCGGTGGCGCTAACGCGTCTGAGCTCCGGCGGCTCCCTCTCCGTTCTCCGAGACACCCTCGGGATTCACCAATCCGCCGTCGGGCAGATCACTTGGCAGTTCGTGGAGGCCATGGAAGAGAGGGCGCTCCACCATCTCCGGTGGCCGTCGACGGCGGAGGACATCAGGGGTATAAAGGACAAATTCGAAAGCATCCGGGGGCTGCCTAACTGCTGTGGGGCCATTGACGTGACCCACGTCACTTTCGGTCAGTCCTCAACCGACCCGTTTGGTCAGATCTGGTGCGATTCAGAAAACAACCAGCATAGCATGATCCTTCAGGCGATCGTGGACCCGACGATGAGATTCGTCGACGTTTTCGCCGGCATGCCGGGGAGTTTGAGCGACGGCGAGACTCTCCGGTGCTCGAGGTTCTTCAAACTCGCGGAGGAAGGGAAGCGGCTGAACGGCGAGGCGCTGAAGCTGGCGGACGGGACCGAGATCCGAGAGTACATAATCGGGGATTCCGGATTTCCGCATTTGCCCTGGCTTCTCACGCCTTACCGGAGACGGAGCCGTCTTCTCCATCACCAATCGGAGTTCAATCGCCGCCATTCTGCAACCAGAAAAGTGGCGCGACGGGCGTTGACGAGGCTGAAGGATCAATGGAGGATCATTCAAGGAACAGTGTGGAGGCCCGATAAGCACAAGTTGCCGAGGATCATACTTGTTTGTTGTCTTCTCCACAATATACTCATTGATTTGGATGATGAAATTCAAATGGAGGCTCTGTTATCGCAAAATCGCGGCTCCGATTACCGGAAAAGGAACTGGGAGGCGGCTCATAATAACAAGAGTGCTTGGAATCAAAGAGAAAAGCTTGCTCTTTGTCTCTCTGGGGAGCAAGTTTCATCACATCCTTCTTAGTTGCAGTGATTTAAGCAATATTTTGCACCTTCTCATTAGCCTTTAGCAAATGTGAAAATTTTATGGTCTGAGATACTACGTACTATATACCCCTACTTTTTAGTTAGGTAAGTGAAAAGGATTAGATGAATCAAGCTTGGTCAGAGTTATGAACAATTGTTTTTACTTCTTACTTCTTAGCTCCACCAGTCCACCTTGGTCTATGTTTTTTAGAGCCTTGGTAATACTCAAATCTATTCCATTGATTAATTTTGATGAAACTTATGAACTTCTTTGTGAAGTGGCTGGATTAATGGATTCTATTTATTTATGAAAAAAATTATATTTAAAATATACTACGTATTTATTAATAAAGTAAAGAATAATATATATGAAAAAACGGTTGAAATGATCATCTATGATAACTTCAGTCAATACTGAAAATAAATAATTGCAATTTTAGATTTTCTTATTATTACCTAATTTAATGCGCGTAATCAAAAGTTACGTGTTTAGTGAAAAAAGTTGGCTGAGAAGGTGAAATACATGGTTACTAAGACCATTTGTAGTGGTAAGGTATTAGGAGTCTAAAATGCTAAAAGTGGAGATTTTAGACTCCTAATTTCTTACATTGGAGAGCATTATAAGAGGCTAAAAATGGAGATGAGGAAGGAGGAGTCCAATTTTAGCCGGCCAATTGACTCTGGTGGAAGTGCTACTTTGCCAAAAAGAAAGGAATCATGAGTGGTGGGTAGTTAGTGGGCTCCATAAAATAAAACCCCGTCTTTCTTAAAATGGTTATAATTTGTTTTTTCATAAATCAAATTTAGAAAAAAATATATGAAAATTCATAATTTATATGCTCTTTCATATGACACCAATATGTAATATATAAAATGAAAAAAAAAATCTGAAATTTTAACTTTTGAAATTTTCATGAGCCCAAAAAAATACAAAACACAATTTTTTAATTCATGTAGCCTTCACAAATAACTTAATATTCCATAATCGAACTTTACTTGAACTAAGTTCATTTTTGTTAACCGAAAAATGTTAAAAGAATTTAATGAAATTTATTTATTTTTACATCGAAATGTGTATTTTTACTTCAAAATTATTAGGGATTAAATTAAAAAGAAAAATATTACTTATAATAATTTAATTAATATTTCACTAAATTGATATGTAAAAAAATGTGCAGAGTGTATTTTATTGACGGTGCAGGAATGCAGAGAAATAGGAGTCAAAACACTGTTTTCATACGGACGGAGTCTATTTTTGACATTTTGACTCTCACACCACTCCAAATGGTCTAAGGGGTCTTCATTTTGAAAAAGTTGATAATAGTATTCTACTATTGTTGGTCTACTTATAATAATTCCCAACGGACCCTTGTGAACGGATATTGTTTATGGAACTTTTGTCAATAATGGACTTGTGTGACTTACATGTTCAGGCAAAAAAACAACTGTGTGTAATAATCCGAACTTTGATGAGTCGATTTCCCGTAATGTAATACACTACACCTCACAAAATTTGCCGAATTTGAATTTTATCAATTAATGATAATAAATTTAGATAATGTTTTTAGTTATTACATTTGTGTAAAATTTATAACTTTTACACATTGATGAAAGCACTTTTAACAAAAAATTATATTTTCATATAATTTTCACATTTGACTCTTATGTCTTTATATTTTCGGAAAAAGGATCAAATAAGCTGGTCTACTACTTCCAATCCGTCACTTAAGCCCTTGTACTAAAAAATATCATATAAGCATGGATACTTGTAAAATACAATCAAACAAACCCTTTGACCTGCAATATCACGTTTTTTTTAATTAATTTAAAAATATTGATAAATGTTACAAAAATTCATATAAATTTGAATAATTAATCTAATAATAATATAAAAAATAGTATAAATATAAAAAATAGGTAGTAATTTTTTTTTAAAAATTAAAGTAATAAAAATAAAGAATCATAAAACTGAAAAAAATAAAAAATTTAAAACCCTTTTAAATAGATGTTGAATACACAAATATATTTTAAAATAAAAAAATATTGACTTTGATATTCTGAAAATTTTCACAATGTTTGTATATATTTCTTCAAATTTTAAAAATTGTTTAGAATTCTTAAGTATTAAAAACCTGCTATTAAAAACCTGCTATTACAGGTCAAAAGCGGATTAAATGGCCAAATTGATCTATTTTGTAAAGTAAGCGTACTTATATAATACTTTTTTTAGTACACGGGCTTAAGTTATGGTTTGAAAATAGTACAAGGGCTTATTTGAACCTTTTTACTATATTTTCATATAGTATACTTTATATGACTCATATTCAAAAAATATCTTTGGTCAAATTTGATTGTCATTGATCACGAAAAGAAAAGTTATTATGACTAATTTGATAAGGGCTAAGGGGCAAATTATACCATGAGATCGGTCCACCGTGCACATGGTGTGCTGATCCTAGTATTAGTTATTTGAACGATCGTAAAGCCAAACTATGAAGTTCTTTTAAGACCTAAGAGAGTGATAAAGTGATAGAAAATGTAAAATTTGTGGTAGATATTTGAGTTAATAAATTAAAGTACAGTACTGTGGACCACATATTTTGAGACAATCCAAAAAAGAAAGTAAGCCAGATAAAATGGGACTGAAGGAGTACTACATAGGCATCCTGGACAGTGTTGAATTGGTGATGTTCTAAAGGGAGAAGACACAAATATAACATTAAGGGCCTGTTTACTAACAGAAAATATTTTTCGGTTTTCTATTTCTGTTTTCTGTTCTCCAATTTTGTGTTTTGATTTTCCAATTTTTCTATCTTCAATTTTCTGTTTTCATTTTTTAGTTTTCTGTTTCAAATGAGAAAACATATTTATCACTTTTTTTACCCAGTTCTGTGACCGATCAGAAGACCGAAAGTTCGGTCCCAGTGCGGAAACAAACCTACTACAACCCAAGTAGGGTACCAGGTCTCACGTAGAAGTAAAGTCGGGACCAAAATTGATCGGTCTCGATCGATCTCAACAGTTAGTTTGATGAATTCCTTTTCCATTGCCCTATTGGTTGACAACTCAACGACTCTTTTTGAAACTCTTCAATTCACTTTGAAAATAGATTTAAAAAAAACGAGACTGAACCGCCAAGGTTTTTGACCGGCTCAGACAGGGACCATCAATCGGACCGAACACAGACTGTCGGGTCATTGGCCAGACAGGATGGGGCCCGTCGGGTCATTGATCAGACTGGACGGGGACCACCGGGTTGTTGACCGAACAGGACGAGAACCGCCGGGTCGTTGACGAAACCAAACCGAACTAGGAGTGTCCGCCCATCGACCGAACCAAACAGGTACCACCTGGTCATGGATCGGACCAGATAGGGGCTGTCGAGTCATCAACAGGACATGGCCAGTCGGGTCGTGGACCGGATCGAACATGAACCGCCAGATCGTGGACCAGACCGGACAGGGACCGTCGGCTCGTCAACCATATTGGACACGGACCGCCAGGTCGATGGCCGGGCCGCCGTTTCGTTGATCATACCGGATAGGGACCATCAGGTCTTTGACAAAATCGAACTGGAACTGACACCGAAACGGGACCGGATCCACCACTAGACATAAGTTTGCAAATTCATTGCAGCGACGCCAACATTCTCGTTTTCCAAATTTGGAAAACTAGTAAAAGTCGCTTCTCCAATTCGTTAAGAAAAACAGAGACATATCTCATTGTTCTAGTTTTGAAAAATGATTTGATAAACACATCTTTCTGTTTTTCTTCTCCAGTTTTCTAGTAATTTTTTTTTCTTGTAAACAGGTTTTGTGCTTTCTTTTTTCTAGTTTTTCCAATTTTATGTAAAATTGGAAAATATCTGTAGTAAAAAGGTCCTAATGATAAAAAAAAGGGTCCTAAACTTCTCCCATGTTTTAAAGAGGGACATCGTCCCGAATGAGGGGCAGAAAAGGAATGCGGTTTCCCGAAAATTTAACAGAAATAAAGTGACAGCACGGCATTACCATCCTCCCAACTAGGGTTTAACCATGGAAACCAGAAAATTTCAAGTAAAGGACATCCTCAAAGAGAAAAAGTTCTGGATCGCGTCTTTCATAATCGCATGGGCCGCTGGTCTCCAGGTGACTTGCTTATCATATTGATTAAATAACGGTGCTTAGTTGCATTTTACTTGGATATGCTTCTCTGCAGATTAGTGTGTGATAATCTGTGCTATTCTAATTTTGAAATTGATTAAGTTTGGATTCATTGTATGTTAGGGGCATATGATGTGGTTAAAGAGGCAAGATTCCTTCCAGCAGAAATTCGGGAATGTAAAAGATGAAGGCGTGGAGAATCCGTAATGGAACCTGTACAGAGTTTGAGATCTTGAATGAAAACTGTTCACTGTAGTGAGGATTATTGTATGATTTCTACCTGTATTGCTTCTTAAGTGGTTTATAATGTCTGTAAACGTTCAGTTTTTGTTTTCAATGTGAATAAGTCAACATATTGATATTCTTTTACTGGCATCTTCAGCCTGGTGATGATTCATGAATGTAGAAGAATATAGTCCATTTATCTGAGAGAAGTCACAAATGTTTTACGCCATAGGTTTTAGAAGAATAAAGGGAGAATAAATGCCAGTGTTTGGTGAGAACCTGGTATTGATGGCCATAAGAAGTCAATGATGATGGCATCAGGTTGAAGATATATGTTTTGTGAAAATTATAGCTTCACTGAAATGAAAATCTTACTTCTGGTGATCTATGTTATACAGAAACCTGGGAAATCTGAGTAAAGGTTAAAACAGGAAATGTCATTCTTTAATAGAAAAACAAGTGTTTGTAAAGTTTGTTAAGAATTTCCGAACACTCTTTCTTGAGAAACTCTTAGCTGGTGATTGGTGAACAAGAGTAAGGCTAGTGGTATGGAATTGCTTAGGTAAAGTTTTAGGGAAGGCTGAAATCACCTTTCAAAAGAATGAGAGGGTAGCTCTAATGCCTTCAAGTGAAAGGTATTTTCGCTCAAATCTGCATAATTTCCTAAGCCTTTCACTGGTCTACTAAACCTTTTCCTGCTCCTGGCTTCATAAATGCCCCTTGACTGATAACCATGGCAGAGATGGCCCGAAGCTTCAAGGCTAACAATGAGCTCATTTTTGTTTGATAGGAAAAGAGCCTTTCCCTTTGTGCATAAACCTTTCTCTTATTTATGTCTTTCTTAATTTGTTTTTTCTGCTGAGTGTACAGGAATATGGAGATGCAACTGATGAAGAGCTGGTGACATTTCTACTGAGCAGTGGCAGTATATATCTTCTAAAGGACTTTATGGGTTTCAATTGAATCTTGTGCTTTTGGTGATAGACTGATATCTGTTAAAAAAATGTTGCTGTTCACTTGGCTGCAACAGGCTACATGCGTGCAGAAATTAGCCATGCAAAATGCAGATGAGGCAAAGTTGTCTGCTGGTAGATAGTATAAAAGCAAAATTTGTTATTTTATCATTCTCCAATACATTTCTGTGTGACCATTCTACTCCTGTTATACAAGGTGACTCTCTAACTGTTCAAATTGCCCCTAAAAAATGTAGGAGGCTTATCCTTGCAAAAAAATGTAGGAGGTTTATAACCATATGAGATCAGATTTCTGTGTTCTTGTTTGGTGTTTCAACTTCATTCCTATGTGGTGTTTTGGCATTCAGCTAAACTTGTAGGTCAGCTTTCTCTATTTGAAACATTTTGTAAATAAAAAATCCTGCAAAGACTGGTGAAAAAAGGGCTAATATCAAAACATCAAACCAATTACGGCTCAATTTTGATCTAGCCCTACTTTATCATTTTCGTTCGGTGTTTTCAAATTTAACAACTCTGGAGTTTTCTTTCATTCTTTAAACGTTTTGTAACACATTTTAGTTTTTTCCCCTTCGAATTATTGAACAGGTTGACATATTAGAATGACATTAAGGGGTGTTTGGAATTGATTCTGCTTCTGATTCTTTTTAAAAGCAGAATCAGAATTAGTTTTCAGAAGCTGACCTCTCACAGCTTCTAAAAACACTGCTTCCAAGAGTAAATTAGAGCACCAAAAATATTTCTGCACTTTCACCCAAACACTCTAACTTCCGCCTCTACTATGTGAAGGAGCAGAAAAGTCCAAACACCCCTAACTGGGCAACTACAATATTATGATGTATAAACGTATAATATTTACGTATTATTTTTAAACAATACCATTAGTTTATTTTATGTGTTACTACGGAGTAGTCTTATTGACATAGACTGTACAATATTTGCAACAATATCCCTAAATGTTTGCATTAGTACCTCGTTTCTTAGAGAATGCGGCTCATTAATATCTAGATTATTTTAAAACGTTACTACAACGTAACCAAAAGGTTATTGCTTGTATTGCCACATATATTACTGTCAAATATAGTCATTACACATTGATGAGATCACTCATCACATTTTTGTCAATTACATTTATTGTAATACTCCATTTCGATGTTGTCAATCACATTATCACATATAGTATCGAAGTCTCTAATTTAGTTTCATATTTGTTAGGTACAAAGTTTAAGAAAATGGGACAAGTTTACCCGACTAATTAATTTTATTTAAAAAGTTACCCCATTTCTCTGGCCTAATTTTTTTTTATAAAGATAATGTTTAATGTACATTTTATACAAAAATGTGTTGGAAAAGCAAATGTATGGTACTATTAATTTGGGATACTAGAAAAGATATATAGGACTATCAAGACAATGATAGTAACACATTTGATGTCACTTTGTAAGGAATATTGTCATTGTAGTGACTTCATGTGATCTGGTTATATTAAATATCCTACCAAAGCTTCAAGTTCCCAGAATTGCCTCGTACATAACTCCACCAATGAAGGGGTTCACAATTGGAGTTTAATATAAATATTAACCCTTCAAGAAAAGCATCACTATCTATCATGGACAAGCCACTTTGGTGTCAAAGCTGCTTAAGCATATGGCAAAAGCCTCAAACGCAGATAAAGGATATCTGTAATCCATGGTAAAAACATCTTCCCCAACCTTCCCAAATTGCAGGATGACCTCATCATGATCCAAATGACCGCCACGCTCTACAAAAAGTTGGAAATTCTTAACTGATTTAACGGTTACTCGCCCTTTAAAGTCTAGGCACCAAACCTGCAACTTTTCGTGCCAGCGTGGCTCCTTGTTCTCAAGAACCAACGGTTTCGACTCGGGAGTTGAATGGATAGTACAGTGCATTTTGCGCGGAACTCTTGATCCAAGATCATTGAGATTGTATGTGATGTGACCTAGTTTATAGCTTTCCTTAGTTTGAACCTTTGGAGAGACTTTTTTGGAATATAGCCTTTGACTTGGGTGCTCTGGAGTGAGGATGTTTGCTCTAGTCCATGCAAGCTGTGTGTCATAGATTGCATATTTTGTTCCCACAAAGTTTGATCTGTAAGTGTCCAATGATCTTGATCTCATCATTTGGCATTGTTAAAATGAACAGTACAAAGAATGAAATAAATCAAAGGTTACCATATTGATATAGAAAATATTAAGCTCTTAAATTTTATCATTAAAGATCTACCAAAAAATGTACAGTTGGCCAAGTGTAATCCTAATTTGCTAGTTTATATATATATATATATATATATATATATATATAGAATAGAGATCAAATACAAAGCCTTCTTAATTTACAAAGTACAAACTCATCTTGACCGTCCGATGAGTTGATCCAAAGGACATAAAGGCAAGGTGGCATTTTTGTAATAAAACCCAACTTTTTAGGGTGCAACTCGTTGCACCTTAATGTGCAACTGTTATTTTTATGACTTTATGATGTGCAATACTTTGAACCTCAATATGCAATGCAAATAACATCAAGGTGCATCGTACAAATATTTGCACAATAAGCACACTTTGTACTTGATCTTTCCCCTATATATATATATATATATATATATATATATATATTTGATATGTGGTAGAATAAACATCACGAAAGATGGTGACTCTCGGAAGCATAATAGTTTCAAGTCATTTTTTAGGCTCACAAGTCACAATTTTTTAGGCTCCTATACCATATTGGACTTGAAATTCGGTTATAGGTGGTTTAATATGATATGGTTTATGAGTAAGATGAAAGGTATAAGCATTCAAAAATGCGAGTGCAACCTTGATTGGGGCCGAGTGGCTAGATGGGGATTTTAGAAGCATCAGTAATAGCTTTTACCTGAGTTTCCCAATGCACGTCTTGCTTGATTGAGACAATTTTTCTGCATTGGATGAGATGACATATTCTGTGAAAGGAATTATCTGAGTTCTTTTAGCAGAGAGAAGGAGCTTCCCCTTTTCAACTAGCAAATCTGAAAAAGGTCAGTTCAGAGTGTGCATAATACTATTATTCATCAATTATAAGAACCATTGCATGTATGCTGATTGAATGTAATTCCAAACATAGAGAACATCAAGTTTACCAGGAGATGGACACAAAAAGAGATAGTATGTCGATTTACGCTTGTCCCGCTGGATAAAGCATTGAATTGTTCCATCCTTTGGCCCGGGCTGAAGATAAAAAAAATGACAAAACTCAGCAATTCTTCTTCACAAGTTAATAAATTATTTTTGTATTCCATCTTACCATTGCCATATTTAGTATATAAAAACTCAAGGGGAATTTACTATTAACATGAACCTGCACAAGAACAGATGTATATGACAGTTTGAGGAAAGACAGACCTGGTTCAATGGATCTCTAACCATTTTCTTACACAAAGAAATAGTCCTACTCTTCAGCTTCTCTGTTGCTATTGGCTAAAAGAAGCAATTTGTTGCAAGAAAATCCTGCAGAAACATTTCACCTTCAGTAAACTACAGGCTCATCAATCCACTTTTGCTTTCATAAAACTTTTAATATACATTTCCATCCATACATGCATACATCGAGGAAAATGATGATATTAGGCTTTGGTGACAATTCCATTGAGGAATGAATCAGAAGAACCTTTGTGATTCCTTCCTGATTGAAAGGTGTATGTGTGTGTGTGTTGGCCTGCTGATAAAATATAATGACTGAAATCATGTATAGAGTGAACAAAGCTATAGATACAAATATAGAATGCAAGTATGAATAATCTCAGCTTAGAGTTTTAAAGATTAGACCTTTGATACAAATGCAAATAACAAACTAAGTGGAGAAGCTAGAAAACATGATTGGAGACTGGATATAGAACACACACAGAGTATATAATTGCCTGACTATGAGTTGGTATGAAGTTTAATGGATGGACCACTTCAGGGTTCAGGGAAGGTAATAATTGGTCTTGTAATAACTTATATTTGATATATTATGGAACTCAGTAACTCACTATGAGTTAAAAGTTATGTCTTTCGAAAAATCAGTATAATCTAAACTTGAATTGAAGAGAATTTGATTCGTAGTAGTTGTTATACCCTTAGATTTTAAAAATATCGTTTTATTCACTCATTAACTATGTGAAGTTTATACTCTGTAATATATTACATATATATCAAATCAATAATTTTCTGAATTTTATTTAAACTAATGTTTATCTCACTTAAATATGAGGTATTCAATTCAAATATTGTCTCAATACGATTTGACATTTTGATACTTTGATCCCTACATGTTCTTTTGGCTCCGGGAGTTCTCAATTATTATTTTTATCATAAACTGGTTATTTGCTCGTGTCTTACTTCACTGATTTTAAGAAGTGGTAGAATAAATAGTTATGGAGAAGGAAGCTAATAATTGTTAAACTATGATTTGAACTAGGGAAGTAAATATGTAAAGAAAAAGATATATGAAAATATTTACAGCTGCACTACAATATCCCATTGCGAGGTAAACATTCCAAAATCTAAAATAAGTTACTTCTTGTACTCTTCATATAGATGGAAAAACATTGCATTACTCATTATTCATTCACATGTCTGGTCATGTCCCTATTAACGCATTTGGCAAGTCATTCTCTCATTACCTTTTAATGGTTTCTCATGTTTTAGCAAAGGCGTGTAAGAATAAATAATACGAAGTATACTCTATTTATATCCTATAAAACTATAAAAGTTGACCAAATATAATATGCACGTTAAATAATAAATATTAAAATTGGATGACTGAAATTGGGGGACTAAATAAGAAAGTGTGTCAATGTTGTACGGGATGGGAGGATATATAATGACAAAAATATTAGGCTTGTTCCATGAATATTCCAAAATTAAATTCAAAAAGATAAAAATATGACTTACTTTAAAAGTCTTCAAAAAAGTGACATATTCGGTGACTAGTTCTGAGTGATTCATCAACTACCAGTAACTTGTCATTCTGTAATACACTATGAGCCCGTTTGGTAGCACGAAAATCGGTTGATTTGGCTGATTCTGTTGAAATTTATGAAGTTCTGGCTGAAGTGACTGCATTGGCTGATTCTGGTGATTTAAGAAAAAAATATTTTTAAAATATATTTTACTAATAAAATAAAGAAAACATTATATGTAAAAATAGCTAAAATGATCCTCTACAGTAACTTCAGCCAATAGAGCCAAAAAAGTAACTTCAACCTTACTTTTGCTGCTTATTACACAATTCAGCGCGCGAAAGCAAAATTTACATGTTTGGTGAAAAAGTTGGCTGATAAGCCTGATAAGCCGAAAAAAGGTGTTGTCAAACGGCACCTATATTGACTCTTATCCAATTACTCGTACATAGTGACTAGTCATTTTTTTTTTATCAAAAAACATAACTAGTCATATTTTTATTCAAAAACATACATGTCATTTTTTCAGAATATTTCTACAATTTTAGACAATAAAAATATGATTAATTTTCAGTATTAAAAAAACGTGACTATCTTTTGTTTTTAATAGTTTATATTCATTTTTATTTGTAATTCCTAACTAACAAAACCCACACCTGCTCTTGCCTCACCCCCCCTCCCACTGCACTTTTGTCTCCAGCACACTCTAGGCTGTTGGGTACTGTTGCCGGAAAATATCACTGGATTTTTTTTCTAAAACCTCGGGAAAAATTGTTGGGATTTTTTTTAGCTGTCACAATGACATGTTTCACGGTGGCAGTGATTCTGATAGTGGTGAAAATGACACCGGAGCGAGGCAACATTGACATTAGAAAAATTGTCAATGATACTAAACGGGTAGTGACATTATATGACTTTCCAATTTTGTTACTACCTCCGTCCCCGACTTAACCTATTCATTGAAAAATAGCACGATTATTTAAAAAATAATTAAATAAGATTATTCAAGTATATTTTGAGAAGTAATTTTGGTGGGTATATGATATAATGAGGTCGCTAATGATAATTGAAATGTTATAGGTGTACTTTTTTAATATAAGATAATTAATTTGTAACTTAAGTGTGCTAATTAATTGCTAAAGTAGAAATGAGAACTTTTAGCTAGGACGTTTAAAAGAGATAAGTAAGGAACTTAATTAAGTGGGGACAAAGAAATATCTTTAGTCGCATTTTTATCCATATATAAAAGCAGTCACTTTGTTTTTAAAATGAAGTTTAATGTAGTATGTAGAAAAAACCACACACATAAAACTTTATAAACAGTGATATGGCTTAGTCGGGCATGTGCAGGGATGACAATGAGGCGGCTCGGGACCGGGTATACCATTACCCGTCCCCGCCTCGTTATTTGATTTATAATCCCCGTACCCGCCCCGTTCCCTGCCTGGTAATTTTTTACCCAAACTGCACTCGGTTGGAATGGGGAACGGTTTTCTCCACGGGTAACTGCATTATTTAAAGATTTTTTTTCTGAATTAATATCACTAACCAACAATAACTTACGGAGTAATTATCTGTTGACCACAATTTTTTTCCAATAAGCACCGCAAATCAAATCAAATCTTATCTCAACAATGAAGTTAAAATATAATTACAAAGTAGTTATAACTATTACAGTATTATACATGTACATAAAGAAAAACAAAGCAACAATTAGTAACTTTTATACTCTTAAATCATTTACATAGAAAATTATAACAACTACACAAAGCAATCAAAACTAAAGTGAAAGGTAAACTAAACTATCCTTTTTCATACAAAATTAGAGTAACTACACAAACTAATCTCTTTTCGCACTAGTGATAATTCGTATATTTTACAAATTATATGGTATATACCTAATTATGAAGTATCTACATAATACATTAAATATATAATCTATTAAAATATATAAGATGATATTACGTGTCAGGTAATGGTGCGGGTAAATGTACTCGAACTAAACGGGGCAGTTACGGGGCGGGTAACAGGTCGGGTAAGTATAAAATTGTACCCGCTCCATTACCTGTTTACATAAATTGGGTATTCCCCACCCCGTACCCATTACCCAGTCAACACGGGTTTCCCCATTTTGGCTGGTTCGGTTCAATGCGGGTATCCGTTGAGTTGGGTTAAATTGCCATCCATAGGCATGTGTAGGGTTGGGTTCGAAAAACCGAAAACTGAAACAAAATAAACCGAATCGTAAGCTAATTAAACCGAGCAAATTAAACCGAGCAAATTAAACCGAGACCGAAAACTGATGACAATTAACCTGCAAATGGACTCAATTGAACGTTTTTACAAAGTTCGAGGACTTGATTGATCTTTTTAAAAGTACGAGGGCCTAATTGATTTTTTCATGAAAATACAAGGACCAAATGGACAGTTTTCCCATAGAATTATAATGTTTTATTCTCAAAATAGGACTCACTCACTCCTACTTTGAAAAGTTCTAATCATGTTATTCTTTGAATATGACTAAATAAGTTTTATATATTTGGGGAATTAGACATGCTTACTCCTATTTGACTAAATAAGTTTTATATGTTTTCTTATACAAATACGGAGTACCAGTAAAACATGTTTAAGGGGTGTTTGAATCTGATTCTCAAAACTGATTCTGCTCCTTCAGGGAGCAGAAGCAGAAGCTGGAGTGTTTGGGTGAAATTCCAGAAGCACTTCTGGAGCTCTAATTTACTACTACCTCCGTCCCAGGGAGAAGTTCCCAATTTCCTTTTTTGGCAGTCCCAACAAAAAGTTCCCATTTCCTTAAATGGAAAGTTATCCTACATAAAAACAGTGCCAAACAGTACCAAACAGTGTCGAAACAGTGCCAAACAGTGTCGAAACAGTGCCAAAAAATAAAATTTACCCCCCAGTAACTTTATTTCCTTAATATGTGTGAAAGTCAACCCGGGAACTTCTCCCTGGAACGGAGGGAGTATTAGAATCAGTTTTTTTAGAAGCTGGGGGGTACCAGCTTCTGAAAACTGATTCTGATTCTGTTACTGCTTTTAAAAAAGAAGGAGAAGCAAAATAAGTTCCAAACACCCCTAAGCCATTCAATTTTTAGTGCTTATAATTGGAATTGGGTCTGAAACTTTCAATGACGAAGCTTAAAAAATAAAAGGGGAATTCTAACCACAGCCACTCATTTACTAAATACAGCCATGATTATTTGTTTATTCCAATTATATCCTTTAAAGAATAAATTAGCATAGTCTGTTAACATGGCTTCTACCGGCAGAGAGCAGTCTGCACTCTATCTCTCTGCTGAGAAAAGTAAGTCGCCAGACAGGACCGACAACGACGGCGAAGGCTGAGATGTAGATGAGGTGCCTCAAGATTGGGAACGAGGGCTCACCTACGGGCTGCGGCTAACGATGACTCACCTTCGAGCCCTGCCACCCCAAGTCAGATTGCCATCCATCTGTGGTTAATTAAGCTTTATCCCTCACGAGACTGCGAAGTAGGAGCAAATCACCATCTCAGAGTGCAAACTTAAGAATAGATCTCAAAGGCCTTCTATATACTTTAGGCATTAGAAATACATATTCAATTAGATTTAATAGATATTTCCATGATGATGGGGTTCATAAATTCTCCATACGAATATGATAAACTGACTGCAAATCAAAAGCAAACATTTCAAAGAAATTTTAGTTTAGTAATTTTAGTATTTCTCTTCACTTTGTTCCTCAATGGCATTCTTCTTCTCTTCACCGGCCGGAGCAGCAGCAGCAGCACCACAAGCGGATAAGGCAGCAACGACAATTGCACCACCACCGCCACAACCACCTACGTTCATGATGCAATCATCCGTCATCGATGTTCTTTTTCTCACAGAGCTTGGTCAATGATCCTAGGCGATCTTCTCTGTTGTGACGAGGATTAGATTCGAACAAGTGCAAAGGATTTCAATAAGTTTACGTTCATAGATGTAAGGGTAACTTAGGCTTTTTACAGTTTAGGGGGCTGTAAATAAGCCTGTTTACTAACAGAGACAGTTTTCTGTTTTCATTTTCTATTTTCAAATCTCCAGTTTTCTGTTTTTGTTTTCCAGTTTTTTGTTTTCCAAACCAGAAAACATGTTTACCAAAGTTTTTCAATTTTTCATTTTGGGATCTTCCAGAAAAAGTTGACTTAATACTTGAAAAAGAAATGCACAATTACAAACATTAGAAATAACACACAAAATTAACATAAATGTTCTCCAACACCGAAAGTTCAATAAGTGACAATATGTTAATGAGAAGAGATGTCGGACTTCGACATCTCATACATTATAAATTTATAATCATCCCATATTGAATTTGCAATACTTTCGCGAATTTCATGCATTTGTTGTTGTTGAGACATATCAAATTCGAGTGGATCACTTGTACTTGCCGTCGTGTTAAATATCATATCCTCTTGCTCGTACTCCATGAACAAACGGTCGTTCCTATCTTGCATGCGAATGAAGATTCTGATCAAACGGGCTACAAATTCACAATTCTGTAGTTCTGACTTAAAATATTAGCAGCTATTTTCATTGAAACTTTCTCAGTATCTGCCCACATGTACGTTTCAAAAATCTATTAAAACGTAGTATTAAAAATAGTTACTTACGTAGTACATCTGTTCACAAGGCTTCTTATTGGACACAAAAGTAACTATCCATAGCCTCATCATATTCCTAATCCATCTCCTTGTACAGTTATACTCATAATTTAAAATAATAATAAAAACAACAGATGTTTTCTTCTGTTTGTTCTACTCAAAACCACATGGGTAAAAAGGCTATTTGATTTACACACTCAGTACAATCTGCCATGTTATTTAATTTACACTCAGTGCAATCTGCCAGCCTATTTGATAAAAGTGTAACCATAACTTTTCAATTCTCTTCCTAAGAAATAATTAATAAGAAAAATGCTGAAAAAGCAGACTTCTTAATGTATCAGATATAAATTTTTCAAAACTGAAATATACTGCACACACACAATGTTACCTTTATGGATGATTGAATTCTATACCATCTTTACAATATTTTCTCAGTACAATTTAGCAGACACACACAATGTTAGGAATCAAAGCAAACTATTTGGATTAGGATTGGCTTTGACCTGTCATTTTTACCTTCTGTAAAAATGTAGACACACACAATCTTAGGAATCAAAGCTAAACTATTTATTAAATTTTTTTACATAACCAAAAGAACTAGAGGAGGAACTCTCTACACCAAGCCACCTAGGTGTAGATCTTGCATTTGTAAGCCTTTAGACATGGAGCTCAAAAATCAGCAAAATAAAAGCCCTTGGACGTCTACCAGCTAATAATGTGTGCTACCTCAATAAACATGAAATATAGATATATGGCTATCATGTTATTCCTCTTATTTTATCTAGACTAGAGAGGATATATCCTTTGCTTTTAATTTTTGAATGTACGCATGTACTTATAGAACCCGAGTCCAGTAGCCCCTATCATGCTATTAGAAGTTCCCAAAGGCATTGACAAACCTGAAACCTAACTTGTAAACTACACTATAAAGTATAAACTATGTTTGTCGAGATTTGAACCAACTGCTATCACCCTCTACTTGGCTTTTAACTTATAAGACAATTGCACTCACAAATGGTGCAAGCTTATCTTGTGTGACTTGGATATTCTATAATCTGTAGTTACTTCTCTAGATAACTAATCCCTGAACTTGATTCAAATAATACATACTTTAAAACTGTACATCACTCTTCTCAAAACGTATCATGATTGAAGGATTATAATTGACCTAAAAGTCTAAAACGGAAGGGCTAAAACTGTACATCACTTATTCCAACCTGCTTGTATACATGGTGAGTGTATGAATTCCTTTTCAATTATCTTCCTAAGCAATAATTAATAAGAAACAGATGAAAAAACAGACTTCTTAAGCAATGAAAACAGACTTTTTAAGCAATGAAAAAACAATGTATCCACAACAGACTTCCATTATTTTTTTTTCTATTTTATAAAGTTGTTTAACATGCATTTTTATGTGTTTTGGATTACATAACCATAAGATATACTCCCCACACAACCCACTCTCTTCTAATTGATCAAAACAGATCAAAAAAGGAACAAAATAGCCATAAATTAAAAACAATGAAGCTCAATTGGCCTTCTGGTTTCCAATTGAATTCGAATTATATACAAGGTAAAGTGAAAATGGCAATTAATTTGAGAGCTTACCTTGAACTCGTTTACAGAACACGAGCCGACCAAAGAATTGGGAGATTCCGTGATGGCAGGGTGCAGCTCCTAGCAGCGACGCCCTGTTAGGTGGGACTGGTGCGAGTTCTTTGGGGAACAAAGCTTCATCCTGTAGAGTGTTGGAGAAGCGCTCTTTGGGGAAGCTTGCGTGCCACTTTAATAGGAGAGGGAAATTGAAGCGGTTTCACGGAGATTTAAATATGTTAGGCGGAGGAAGGTAGAGCTCAGTAATGGCGAGGAGTAAAAATAGGGCTTGCCATGCGGGAAGATAGACGCAGTAAAGGGGAGGAAGCCGGAAGGTAGAGCGAAGTAAAGGATGTCATTGTACATCCGCGTTTTCTAAAACGTGAAAACATCGATATGTCGTTTTTCTATTTTACAAGGAAAAGGTGAGACATGCCTCGTTTTTTTCCTTTTGGAAAACGGAATGGTAGACGGGTTTTCTAATATTTTTATCTCTAGTTTTCCAATTTTTCAGAAAACAGAAAATATTTCTGTAAACAGGCCCTTAGCATTTTAAAAATTGGCTATGCTATTAATCCACACGGTGTTCTTCCGGCTAACTTGGACTTGAAAACAATTCGTTCTCTTCATCTCGTTGGTTATTCAACAATTGTTTAAATTATCTTTTTTAATGTTATTTGATTCTCCTATTTGATATTTTGAAGGATTTTATTAAAGAATTGACGAGATTGGGAAAACAAGGAACTACACTCAATGTAACCAACCTCCAGCTACGGTTTCATGTCGAAGATGATGAAATCTCTGCGTTCATTGATTTGTTGCGGATGTGCCCAGGTAATCTCCAGCGTCATGAAGAATCATTGTTCTATTAAATTAAAGGGTTCATTTTATTCCCCCCTTTCTTAATGTACATTTTTGGCGTAAATACATATTTGACTGATTGAGTTATATTCTCACATTCTTCCCTTTCTAAATGCTTTTTAGAGTGACGTAGATGTGACTACTATAGACTTACTGTTGGTGCATCCAGAGTTTATGGTGGCCGAAACGTGCAAAAGGGTTCATGAATTGCATATTTATGGCACGGTTAGAGAGTTTAGGCCTCAAATGCTAGTCTTCAAGTGACTACTTTCATGCTTTCCCATGCTTAAGAAGGTTTTCATATTTTAAAGAACAATATTTTGCTCCGAGACACAGAACAAAAATATGCGGAAGCTTTTGCGCTTTCTACGGGCTTCTTCAAAAGCAGACATTATATATGTAAACTTTTGAGCTCTAACTTTTGCTGAATGTTGCCTACTACCTTTATGGGTGTCTATTTCCCAGTACTGCTAAATTTCTTTGTGAGATTTCTCCATCGGCTAACCTACCATGGAATTATATTCCGAAATTGGGTTGAATAGATTGTTTTTTTTTTTTTTTTTTCAGAATTTCTCTTTTAACAAGCATTTTGTTTCAAGACTGTCATGGAGTATTTATGTTTGAGATCTTTTCCCTTGATAAAAAAAGAAGCTTATTATGTGAGGCTTCGTTTAATTTTGTTTTCTTCATATTGACTTGCAATGCAAGAAAGTTAATTGATGTAATTGTATTTGATACAAAAAGAAGATAATAAATACGAAGTAATATTAATCATACATACATATTATTGTAAAAAAATCGAAGAAAGATTTGGAACACACAGATAATAAGTGGAATTTTTTATTTTGGAACCAACAAAAGTAGTACTCTTCCCCCCCAAAAAAACTATAGTACTCTGTATATTAAAAATGGCAATGAGGCAAGGACAGGTATGTGAATAACCGGCTAGGCAATTTCCTCACTCCAATGGGAATTGGTATATAAATAATCACGAGTAACCATTTACTTGATTAGAGGTATTTTAGTATAAAACTATTGTATTAAAATAGTTTAATTTAATAAAAAATGATAACAAACAAGCTGGGTAAATTCTACTATCAGATTTAGAGGGGAATTCTCGATGGAGATCATTGTTTTATTCATTGCACTTAATAAATGCATGTATATATACACAATGAAAATGAGGAAAATCTTATTTCTTCTAGTGAGAGTATGTATATCCTATTTTGACTAAGGGGGCGTTTGGTAGGATGCAAAATAACTACTTTGTATGCGAAGTGTAAGGATGTAAAATGTTTACACTGTTTGGTTTGATTATTTAATGTAAACTGTAGAACACTTTTTTAAAACATTTCGCGTTGTACCATGTAAATAATTTTACGTGGGGGGAGGGTGGTGAAATACTTTGCATGTCTTTTATGAAGCACTGCAACGACTTTGCGTGCAATTTAATAATAAATTACAAATCTAGCCAAACAATGTAATCTAGTTTACATGCAAAATGATTGTTTCCCTATACTTTGCATGCAATCATTTCACGTGCAAAGATTTAACATTCAAACTACCAATCAAACCCTAAGAATAAAATGGGCGGGTAATGGGGTAATACTAAAAAGCTGCAAAACTAAATTTTCTCATAAGGTTAATTTAAGCTCTTAATTTCATCTCTTAACTTGGGGAAAGCACGACACCCAGAACTTTATTAGGATCACGAGCTAAGAAAAAACTCTTGTATTATATAATTGAAATTTACAAGAGAGTGTACAAATGAACGGGTATCTCACTTCACACTTCCCAATTGGGAATACTCACTCTTTCTCACTTATGAGAAGCCTTTCTTTCAAATTTCGAATGAAAGGCTACACCATCTATTTATACTACTCACAAAGGGCGGGTATGTATTCCCTCTCTAAAATCTTCTACCCACATCTCTACATTCTAGATTCTTTCAAGAAGCCTTCACAAGCTTCTATTATCTTCTTGAGAATCTAGATGACTCACACTTATTTTATAGAGATTTCTACATTTCTCTAGAGACTAGAGTATTCTAAAAGATTCTATAACATTCTATACACATCTAGAGAATACTATATTTCTCTAGATAATTCCACAATATTCTAGAAAATTCTACTCATCTCCACATAGTCCTAGAATTCTCTAGAATTTCACAAAGTATTTGGAATTATCTAGAATTTCACAATATTCTAGATTATATATACTACCACCTAGCTTCTTAAATAAATAAGATCTATCTCCTCTATATATTCATCTGACATTGTAATAGCTTACTTCCTTCATTTTTGCTCATATAGCAGTAGATTACTGTAATTTATAAGTTATAACATCTTAATTCTTTTATAAATTAACAAATTAAATAATAAATATTGTATCTTTGGTTAAATATTAACTAATTTTTGAATTAATTATTCGAGTAATAGAACAAATCCCAGTTTTAAACAATGTTAAGAAACCAAGAATTGAATCACGTATCTAAGAAGCAAAAAAAGCTTAAATAAGTATGCTAGTCAATTAGTACTGAGTAGTTACTATCAATTTCAAATAATTAGTAACGACTAATAATATTTTAGCTCAATACATGGAAATTGCTGCTGAAGAAAGAGCCTTTTTTCTTCAAAATGATTTCAAAGCTAGGACTGAGGAGCTCAGCCATTTTCCCGCTGCTTTGTATTCCTCATGGACCCAGGTCAGCAGCAACAAATGCATCCCAGCCTCCCAAAGTGTTTTACAGAAGTATTTTTTCTTAGACTTTGCACTTTAAAATTAAATAATCTGCCTCCACATTCGAATTTGGGCTTTAGTCTTTAGGGCCCAACCGCCCAAATCATTTTACAGGCCACAGATAGGGGATTGGGGGTCGGGGGCCCAAAAGAAAACACTAATATACCACTAATAAAAAAAATAAAAATATGGGCAGGGATGGTACCCTTGGGTGTTATGTTGTTGTACCTCCGATACGCTCCTATTTGTATATATGCACAGATAAAATAGGGTTTGTACAATTGTACAAAGCGATATACAAAGAAACAATGGCAAGGATATTACTCCCAAGGCTTTCAAAGACTAAAATATGTTCACTTTTGAACTTGGACAAAAAAGTGACTTCAAATCCGCTTCTCTCTTCCTTCGACGTTTCTCACTTCGTCTGCATCTCATCTTTTGGCATAGTGGAGTTGACTTCCAAGCTTCCTCATCTCATCCTTCTCCATCTCGCATCTGGCCGCTCTGCTGCCGCCGTCTGTGAGCTCTGCTGCCGCCATGGACGAAGCCACCGCCTCGAACTCTGCTGCCGTCCTCCCGTCGCGTCCCTTTCGTCACCTGTGAGCTCTGTTGCCGCCATATACGAAGCCATCGCCTCGAGCATTGCTGCCTCCCATCCTGTCGCCTTGCCTCCGCCTCCTGTGAGCTTTGCTTGCGCATCAATTCGCCACCGCCTCATATTTCTTCTCCTTTCTTCTCAATCGGTCGGATCCCCATCAGATCTGAAGTATGGTGGCCGCTAGACTTTCAGATCTAGTCTGTGGTGCGGTGTGGCTGGGTGGGGCTGGGGTGCGTCCTTGCTTGGCAGGGCTGTGGGGGTGTTGTGGGGCTGGGGAAATGAGGCAGGCCTGTGAGATGGGGTGGGGGAGTTGCTGGTCGGGCTTAGAAGGGGGCTTGGGGGAAGGGAAGGTGGTTGGGGGCTGAGGAGGGAGTGGGGCTGAGCGCGGTGGTGCCGGAGGGTACGTGACGCAGGGGACAATGCTGACTGAGGCAGGTTGGATAGGGTGAGGAGTATGGGTGGTGCGACGGTGACTGGCCGGGGCTGAAGGTTAAGGCAAGGGTTGCGGATTGGCGGTTGGGTGCGGGGATGGTGGCTGGTGTTGCTGTTTGGCGGTGGTGGCTTGGTGTGGGGATGGTGGTTAGTGATGTTGACCGGCGGTGGCAGCGTCACTCTGGCCGGAATAGTTGAGTCACGGCGTCACTGCGGTGGTGTAGGGTGATGGTCGGCGGTGGGGTTAGGGTGAGGTAGGTTGGGGCTGTGAGGAGTAGGGGAAAGACGGGGGGTGATAACATGGCACTATGACCGGAGTCGGCGTGTCACTGTTGCGGTGTCATCGGTGGCGGTCGTGCCACTATGATGGTGTCACCGGTGGCAGTCGTGTCACTATGATGGTGTCACGGGTGGCGGTCGTGTCACTATCGTGGTGTCACCGGTGGCGGTCGTGTCACTATGGTGGCGTCACCGGTGGTGGTCGTGTCACCGGTGGGGTCGTGTCACTGTGGAAC